GGGGGGGGGGGGGGGCTCTGCCATGAGCCCTCAGAGGCCCTGATCACCGGTGAGTGCGGGGCTTTTTTTCTTTTAAGTGCCAGGAAGCTGGGGCTGTGCAGTCAGGGGGCTATCAGGGTCAGGGCTGGGCAGGGAGGATATTGGGGAGTAGAGGCTATGTGGGGGGGCTCTGCCCTGCTGCCACTTGCCCCCTTCTGCCTGGAGTGAGCCACGTCCGCATCCTGACCTGGCTGGGCAAGCAGCAGCAGGGCAGGACCCCCGCATCCCGCACCTCCCAGCCCCCTCCCCAAGTAAAGCGCCCCTTGCTCCACCTGAGCAGCTTGTCTCAGCCCCAGCGCCAATCTCTCCCTCTCACATGCCCTTTCCCTCCCCCCAACCCCAACAGACTTACCAGCTGGAGGCATCTGTCAGCTGCCTGTTTAATCTATGGCTGAATCTCCAAAGCAGCTGAATCTTTTCCAAAGCTTTTCTGAATCGATTTGGATGCTTCAAATCAATTCAGAGTTTTTAAACTGGTCTCCTGATTTGATTTGGATTTGGAGATTCAGTCCCCAAATCGGGCTTTAATTCGGAATATCCTCTGAATTAAATCAGCTACCAAAGCTTCGCACAACCTTAATGTGTATGTGTATGTAGAAAGTGTTACTTCAATTGTTACTCTGTCCTGCAGGAAAATGAAACAACAATTTCGGAAGTGAATTGTATATACATAGGATGAACAGGCAACTCCAATCAATGGGTTGATAGGTGCAGGAAGAGTTCGTGCCTTAACACACAAGAAGGAAACTTGAATATCTGATGTTTTCAGCAGAACCTGTTGTGCAGTTATTGTCCTGTAACTCCAAATACTTACTTTTAAAATGCAGTTTTATTAACCCAATATTTAGAAATAAACTTTTTTTCTCCCTTTTATCATTCCCAAATACTACTGAAATGCCACTCCTTGAAATGCCCCTCTTGTGGCAGAGTGTACTGTACAGCAACATTCAGGAGAAAGACTTTTTCCCCCTAACTGATTACATTGCATGCATTCATGGGAAAGGGTACCGCAGTGACTTGTTTGTGATGCTTTTTATGTGGCATAGCACACATTTCATTACCACCCCAATCCAAGCTGATAAGTGAAACTATCAGTTCTTCAGACAAATGATGTGACAACTTTTACCAAGTCTAACAAACGTCTCTTAATCAAATCAAACAAATTGTTTGGCATTTTTTCCTAAAAGCCTAGAATTGGGTGAAAAATTGCAGGGGATAAAAGGGAATTTCCTAAAGCTCATAGTTGTGAGGTGGGACTTGACTGGTGGCTTAGAATTGGTCATATGGAACCGCTGTGGATTCAGCGGCATGTGTTGGTGCGAAGCCAGGGGCATGCAGCAGCACACAGCTCTTCCCCCCACCGTTGTCACTGCCTGGCCAGAGCTCTGTGCTGATGCATGCTCCTGGCTGTAAACCAACAAGTGCTGCCAGCTCCATGCTACCTAAAGCAGCTCCATGCCGCTATGTGTCCTTGGCTCCATGCTACCATCTGGAAGTGCTGAGATCTGGTCAGTTGGCAGTGCCAGGCACATGTGGCAGTGCAAAGCTCATGGTGTGCACTTCCAGTAACCACCAGACTACTGGTGAGCTGGATGCAACAGTTCTGCAAGCCAAATTTGGCCCATTGGCTGTATGTCTGACACCCTGGTTTAGGCCTATATCTTATTCAACTACAGTAAATTAATGTAGACTGTATACATAATTGCTTGAGCTCTCTTGATTTAATTCACTGTTAACCAGTGTGTTTTGACTGACTGAAATAACTGAAGAGAAAGCCTAGGCAGGTGGTTATTTATTTATTTTTTTATAAAACAGACATTAAATATTTTTATGAAATTTATTCCATTTATTATGAGAAAGTCAGTAGAAATCACTTCTACTGTTAAAAATGCTTTGAGAGCCACCCATTTGCATTACAAAAGCTGTCTCCTATTTTTTCAAGTTGTTATACTGTAAAGATCTTTTTTGTTTCTCAGTTAACTAGGTAAGCAGTTGACTAATCCATTATCTGTACTCACCATCCTGATTGCTGGGGGCATCTCCAGCTCCATGCATGGTGTCTGATCCTGATTCTGGCTCTATAACTCTCTCAGGAATTGATAAATCAGCCAATGCAAATCCAGATTTGCTAACTATAGGGAAAGCAGCTTTCAGTTTCTGGCTTTCAGATATGGCATCCATCAAAGGGTAGCTAATACATTCAAATCCACTGTGAAAGAAAATGTAGTTGATATTTTATTTTGTTTGTGAAGATAGGTTTTAACGTCTTAAGAAAATAATCCAGATATAATATGGAACTCACCATGAGAGCCACAAAATACTCACTGTCTGAAAGTTAGAGCTGCATTTATATATCTCAATATATACAACATAACATATAGTACTGATATATTTATCTCCAATAACCTACTGGAGCTTACTGGATTTTTTTCAATAAATTGCATAGCCCTATGCTTTGTACAAACATAAGAAAAATAACCAAAATAGACCTGTTGCACAAACTCACAATGATAATCTGCGTTAATAGGCTTCAGCAGGGATCCTGGTTTTCTCCGATTTAAAAAAATATATTAGTGGCATTTCATTTTAATCATGGAAAAATATGGAATTTGGGTTAGTTTTTTTAATCTGAAAATTGGGGATTCTTTTTTTAATCAGAGAAAACTATGATCCCTGGTCATCAGGGAATGATTAGTTTAGCAGCTTGAAACAGAATTTTTACTGTAGGTTCCATTTCATATGCTAGATTGCCGTCTTAAATAAAACATACAGGATAACCTAATGTTGAGCGAGATTTTCAAGGAAGTTAATTTTGATCTCCCTCCATTAAGTTTCAGCTGGTTAAATGTCAGCCTCCCTCGGACACCTCTGAAAATCTTCTCACGCCAGGGCTCAGGTGGCCAGTAGCCGTGCCTGGCCCCTTGACCATCTTTCGCCTGACTCGGGCTACTTCTCACCCACACTCGGGCCTATCTCACGCTTGCCGTGCTCTTCGCCCTCGCTGGGGCCTAAACACGCGCTTTTTGCGCTCAGGGCTCCCCGCAATGCTCTTGCCCCCTCCGGGGCTCTGCCCTGCGCCTTCCATGCTATCGCCCTCTCTGGGCTCTGTCCCACGCTAAACCGCGCTCGGGCCTCAGGTGGCATGCAGCCGTGCCTGGCCCCCTGACCCTTCTCGGGGTCCTTCGCCCAACTAGGCAGAATACCACCCTCAGGCGGGGTTCTCAACCCCCACACA